GAGACTTTGACGATATACGTTTGCATTAATTTCTTTATCAAAGTGGACCAATTGGTCATAGTACCATAAACATAGATTGCAAATCAAATTTGAAGAAATCAGATGAGTGAAACAAGCTCTATACAAACTAAACGAAATAGAAAACAATACTGTACTGTGAAAATAATCAAATAAGTTCGTCAAGTCACGTTTTTTAATGTAAAAATCGAAAAAGTTGTGGGTGGCAATTGGGTGTTACTAAAACGAAGACCCAAAAACGAAGACCTAAGACCTAAGACCCCCTGGACTAAAACGAAGACCCTATGGACTAAAACGAAGACCCTATGGACTAAAACGAAGACCCCATGGACTAAAACGAAGACCCTATGGACTAAAACGAAGACCCTATGGACTAAAACGAAGACCCCATGGACTAAAACGAAGACCCTATGGACTAAAACGAAAACCCCATGGACTAACACAAAGACCCAATGGACTAAAACGACTGATGCTAACCGCTGAGGGCAATGCCCGCTCCCGTAATTTGTTACGGCAATTTGGGAATGTTGTGGAATTTCCTCTGCACTATTTAGTTGCGATAGTCAAGTCTATCACTTACCTTTCCTTCAGGTCTCTTTGCGGAAATATTTTGCATGTTTTAAACCTCTTTGGAAGTGTTTACGGTGAAGATGACCTCAGTTTATTTAAATCAAAGCTTTTTGCAGGGTGAAGGCGAGAGGGCCCTCTAGTGTGTCGTGTGGTTATTCTTGGGTTGCACGTGACGTCACCAAAAATCAAACTAAGAAACTATCGATTCTTCTGAGTTTCTACTTTCAGGAGTTATTACAGTACCTAAACACCTTTACATGAGCAAATTTTTGGTTCGAAAGAGTTCTTTTTTTGCGAGAGAGGACGCTTGAATTTCCAGGCTTTTGCGTGACGCGGCATTTAGCTGGCGGCCGGGAAAGCTCCTATGTGGGTTAAAAACATTATCGATTTTGGGAGATTTTGCAATCTAAACATTCCTTGTCTCAGAGGAAATATTACTGTAATCTTTATGAGTTCCTCAAGCGAAGAATTCACGCATTAGTAGGAAAACTCGAAAACAGATGTTTCTGTTGGTATGCGGCGGCCATATTGGTGTTCCTGAAAGGGATACCAAGATGGCGATTCCACACAAAGCCTTATAAATTTAGGTAAACCGTTTTTTCCAATATCTCGCATTTGAAATATTTCACAGACCTGATTCTTGGCAAGGGTTTTTGTATAGTTATCTTTTTTCATTTCCCAGATTCTAGTCCTTCTGTATTGAATGGTTTGCATTTTTATTTTTCATTGCGTGACAGTGCAAGCCGAGAATAATCCGCGTGTGGATATAATGCGATTGGCGTGACAAGCCCAAAGGTCATCAGCGTGTTCATGGGAGGCCTAGACAATCAAAAAGGCTTATGACAGGATTTGTCTTGAAGACTTCCGCCAAACGTGTTATGGGCGCGTATTTGGGGTTTGAGGGAGGAGGGGGTCCATTCGCTTTCTGATATTTTATGGTTCAAAATTCAATGTCGGATGATTTGGGTGTCATCCCGGGTGTAATGAGTTAAGAAAATATAACTGCGTGCTCCAGCTTTCTAAAATGTCGAAGAATTGTATCAATGCATTTAAAAAACAAAGCAGTGACAACACGTAGTACAGGGAGGGAATTCTCATTGACGAATTCAAGGACAGAGGTACCTCGCGCTCTATTTATTACTTTTTACCTCATCAATAGGGGAAAAAAAGCCTTCGATCTAGAACATTACTCGAGTACAGGTTAACATTTCGAGTTTCATTTAAGCGAGGTTCATTTGTCTTTATACCGGGTTTTATTTGTTTTATTTATATCCCTGTCATACGCTGTTACGATACTCTATCCTCTATTGTTAAAAAATGACTAATCTTTACGGCTTAAACAGTTGTTTTTCTGATAACTGTGATAAAAAAAATAATAATAAAAGAAAAAGAAGGAAAAAGACAAGGAAAAAAATCGCACTTTCGATGAGACTCGAACCTGGGATCTTTGTTCCAACATTAAGGTTTTACCACTAGGCCACAAGGGCTCTCTTGCCTTCACTCTGCAAAAAGCTTTGATTTAAATAAAACTGACGTCATCTTCACCGTAAACACTTCCAAAGAGGTTTAAAACATGCAAAATGTTTTCCGCAAAGAAACCTGAAGGAAAGGTAAGTGATAGCCTTGACTATCACAACTAAATAGTGCAGAGGAAATTCCACAACATTCCCAAATCGCCGTAACAAATAACGGGAGCGGGCATTGCCCTCAGCGGTTAGCATCAGTCGTTTTAGTCGATGAGGTCTTCGTTTTAGTCCATGGGGTCTTCGTTTTAGTCCAAGGGGTCTTCGTTTTAGTCCATGGGGTCTTCGTTTTAGTCCATGGGGTCTTCGTTTTAGTCCATGGGGGTCTTCGTTTTAGTCCATAGGGTCTTCGTTTTAGTCCATAGGGTCTTCGCTTTAGTCCATAGGGTCTTCGTTTTAGTCCATAGGGTCTTCGTTTTAGTCCAAGGGGTCTTAGGTCTTAGGTCTTCGTTTTAGTAACACCCGTGGCAATTCGAGGTAATCTTTCGCATTTCCGGTGTCTGGCATGTTGGGCAGTGGAATTTGATTACAAGTGTCCGTTTAATACAGGTTGGTAACAATAGAAATGACTATTTCAGGTACTTTTTAGGTGTCCGCGTCCGCTTAATAGAGGTGTCCGCTTAATAAAGGTTTCATTTAAAGTAAATAAGGGAAATAAATTTTGGGACTTCGGCTACTGTCCGCTTAATACGGTGTCCGCTTAATACAAGTTTCAATGTATAGCCTTTTTAAGAAAAAGCCCTTGACAAACCCCGTTTAGGACAAAGGACATGTACACCGGTTTAGGATAGACTTGCCCGGAATCCCGGGGGGGGGGTACTCCCATACATTACCTATACGGGTATGTGCCGCCCAACGGGGTCGTGATTTTGAAGCTCCTGATTTATAACGGGGTATCCATTTCAGAGGCGTTTTCTAGAACGGGGTATAATATTTCGAACGCACGAAATGTCCAGTTTTGTAAGCAGCCATTTGAAAGTATTCAAGCACAGATTGCTTTTAAAAATACGGTTCAATGCGTTAACAAGCAAACTGTTGTACTCTTTGCACCCTAGAACGGAGTATAAAAAATTGGCCCATTTCTAAAACGGGGTATCAGTTTTAGGGCGAATTCTAGAACAGGGTATCAATTTTAGGGGAAATTTTTTTAGAACGGGGTGCCAATTTGGAGTCCCGGGCGGCACATACCCACCCAAAAAATACCCAAGTGCCCCCCCCCCGGGCCCGGAATATATAAAGAGATATAAAGATATACATAGCCTAATTTGCATACTGAGGTACCATCAGGAAAAAATTTATAAAAAATTCTGTATTGTTCAATATTTTAAGCTGAATGGTGGTCTGTTTTGCTAGATAACTACAGAAAAAGTTTTCTATTAAATTTTAAGCTCAATCCAAGTAATACTTTTGCAAAATCACATTTTATATTTGCATAAATTATGAAAAAATGTATCTTGTAAAGTTTTTCGGTGAAGTATCTATTATGGGCTTCCAGAGGGCAAAATATTGTTTTTGGAAGGTTTATTGTATGCCCTTTCAAATGAGGTATAGCTTTTTAAGCTCGGGTAAGTAACAGTGGAGATATAACTCTTTTAAAATGTGTGGTCAAATTTGCTGTTTGCACACCTGTCAAAAATGAGTTAAAATAAGAGCAAAACTCGAGAACACTTTTCTGTGAGTCTCACTTCGTAAACGAGTTTGTCAGCTATGCGTGTGCTTTTCCGCCGATGGAGAACAACAACTTACAATGTTTATTTACATATCCTTTTTACATAGATGGTGTTGCATACAAAGTGAAAATAATAAAATAAAATATATTAATAACTAATAAAAGAGAATAGTACCCGAAATAATAACGTGGTAAGAAAGTGATAATAAAAAGCTCTCGTAAGCGACCACAACCACTTTTAAGATTACCCAACCGGACTTTCCCTTTGTTTTTAAGCTCTCGTAAGCCACCACTCAGATGTAGATAATGGTGTAGATCAACTTGTTCTTGCAGTAAAATTTAGATTTGGAGTTATTTTGGTCTAAAAATTAGACGTAAAGTTTATATTAGCCGTGTCTATATCAAATATAAACACACTCATTAAACATTAAGTCTACGAAATCCACTGGGAAATTGAGCAATTTTAATTTTCAGTGGACAAAAACCTTGTATCACAATAATTTAAAGAATATTGCATTCTTTTTTTTACATTTTACAAGGGCTAAAGATGTAATTTGTCATCCGTAATAACACCAAAGAAAATTTCTCATGGGAGTTCGAGAAAATTAATGTCAAATTTCACAAGAATTGTGAAAACACAGGTAAAATTCTAAAATTTTCATGTGTAAGATGTCATTTTGGGAAATTTGACATTTTTTTCTCGGGCTCCCATGAGAAATGTAGTTTGGTGTTATTACAGATGACTAATTACATCTTTAGCCCTTGAAAAATGTGAAAAACAATGCAATATGCTTTAAATTATTCTGGTAGAAGGTTTTTGTCCACTGAAAATTAATATTACTCAATTTCCTGATGGATTCCGTCTTAATTTCGTTTGTTTTTACTTTATGAATTATTAATGAGTTTTTGAAGCTCTCGTAAAGCCTGGTTTTCATTTGCGCATAAGGATTTGACTCAATTCTTGACACCAGCTCTCCTCAACCCAATAATAAACAAGGTGGCGGACGATACTGCTTTTGATATTTTCGCATGACACCTGGGTTATGTTAATGTGCCCTATGATTGGTCCACAGCCTTGTGCTTATGCTTGTGCTTATGTCGAGCGACCCAGTTTTCACTAGTCAAAACTACTCTAGTTACGACCGCTTTTTCGAATTTCCGTGGTGATCACTTACGAGAGCTTCGACGGCACTAATAATCACGGGAAATATAGCCACTTTTCATTCAAATATTTGTATTCGATGATTATCATCATCAGACACAACAATTTGACCATTGCTAAGCATTGCCACTGACAAGGGTCCCCTAAATTCTTCTAACTTGCTGCCTTTTCTTCCAAACTTCCCGATGAATTTTCCGTTAAGTTCAAAGACTTGAACTCTATGATTTCCCCAATCACAGACCAACAGGTGGTTTGACTGAGTCACTGACAAATAACGAGGAAACTTAAGCTCCCCGTCCCTTTCCCCCAGTCTACCAAACTGGTACTGAAAATGCCCCTCCCTGTTAAATACTTTGATACAGTGTTCACTTGAGACTGACACTATGAAATATTCCCCACACTGAACACAGTGAATAGGAAAACTTAATGAACCCTGCTCACCTATCTTCATTACAAACCTACCATCGGGTGTAAAGATCTTAATCAATCCGTTGCCTTTATCAGCAACAACAACATTACCAGTACTATCTAAAGATAAACCCCGAGGATCAGACAGCTGACTATCAAGGCTTCCTTCGCGACCAAATGAACCTAAGTGCCTCCCCTCCCAACTGAGGATCTGTACTCTATCGTTAGAACTGTCCGCTACGAAAATTTTTCTATCGTTATCAATGGCTATACCATCAGGGCGGAAGAACTCTCCAGCATTTTTACCTTTCTTGCCAAAAGATCTTACGAAAGTACCATTACTGTCAAACACTTGAACCTGATGGTTGCACTCGTCAGCTACGACTATTTCATCCCTATCATTCACTGCCACCCCTTTAGGATACTGAAACATTCCATCACCCGAGCCTTCCTTTCCAAAAAATAAAACAGGTTTTACACGAAATGGTTTTACGCTTATTGTAAAAGGGCTCCCACAAGTTTGTTCCTCGTTTACTTTAACATGCAATTTAAATATACCTTGAACTGCGGGATAAAAATTAACATTGTAGGTTCCATCTTTAATGTCCTCTACTTTCACTTCCGTCACGCATTCTTGTCCTTGATCGTCCTCGATCTCTACCGTGACACGGTCCTTCTCATCATACCACTGCTTTCTCTCTGCGTTTCTTGTGATCAAATTGAATTGAGCTTTACGCGCTACAGTTCCTTCTTTCAGTCCTTCGCCTTCAGCCACAGATTCACTTGCTTTTGTTCTGTTAAGGTCCTTCAAGGATCCGATTTCTTCTCCGTTCACAACATCAAGTAATTTCTGATTTTTTATGAACATTAAAGCTTCCTGAGTTTCAGGGTCATGAGCAACAACCTTAGCCTGATCCACCCTCTCAAAAATTGTTTGCAGTGTTTGTTTAAGCTGAACAACTTCAGCATTGGTACTTCTCTGAAAGAGTTTATCAGCTTCTTTCAGTGATGATTCAATAACATTAATTTGTTGCTGAATCTCGTTCCTTTTTGCTGTCAAACTTTCGATGGACTTCTTAGTTTGGCCTTCCACTGTAGTGATTATATTTTGCATTTTTGCTTGAATTGTTTTGATCAAGCCATCAGCAAACCTTTGAACATCTCTTTTTAATACTTCGCTTTGTTGAATCACTTTAGCACAATCTTCATCCAGTTGACTTACTATGTTCATTTTTGCTTCTAAATTTTTTTACTGCGTTTCGATTACAGATTTCATCTCGAGTCTTTTGGTTTCGGCTTCTTCTTCGATCAATTTCAAACCATGACCTCCGTGATTCAAAGTGACACAAGTTTGGCAAAGAGCTGTTTCGCATTCTTTGCAGTAGTATTTAAGCTCTTCTTTCTGGTGTCCTTGTCTTGAACAAAATACTGGTCGCTTCAACACATCTGCGTAGTCCTGATCTTGGAATTCTCTTACTGCCAAAGCACGGTGTCCCGTTTTGTCTCACATTTTACTGTGAAACATTAAGCATTCTTCGCAATAAAATATGCAACACTGGAAACAATACGACGCTTCCGAGCTCTTCTTGTCACAGTTTCCGCATGTTAGTTGAGTGTTCTTGCATTCTTTGATGGCAAGAACATCGATAAAACCGTTCAAATAAAAGCTTGTTGGAAGATCTTTAAGATCACCGCTTGCTGGTATTCTGCTTAGCGTTTGGCATTTTGGGCATTTAATGGCGTCTCCACCGCCGCACGTCTCGTACCACTGATTTACACATTTCAAGCAAAAACTGTGCAGACAGGAGAGTTGTTTAGGATCTGTGAACAAGTCCGAACACACCGAACAAGACACTTCTTCGCGAAGGTTGTGAAATAGAGTTGTGAGATCCATGTCTTCTTCAAAATAACAGCCTGAAATGACCTTTTGTGTCGCAGAGTCTAGTCTACACCCAACAATGAAGTCTTGTGACGTTTCTATTTTTAGCTTTTCTCGGAATCAAAGGCCCTTCGAACCAATCACAGAGCACTATTGCATAGAGCCCCTGAGGCGCCTTTGTAGTCAAGTGACACTCAGAGAGAAGCAAAAGGCTTTTATATGAAGCACGACATCATGAAAACATCAGCTTAGAAAGATGCAAATTACTTTTTTGGATGCAGAGTGCAATGAAACAAGCAACCGTGTCGCGTTAGCCCCGGCATCGGTTGGGTGGTATATCAAATGCAGACAGACAGATTCAGTCAGCTCCCTTAATTTATTGCGGACACTGTAGGGACCTCGGAGTTAGTGTCCTCATTAACGAGACATTTAAACTTTTTATTTAAAAATAATGAATTAAAAATAGTAACATCAAGTAGAGAGCGAGTTGGGATCATCCAAATAGCTATTCAAGTGGATGTACCCCACACCAGGAACGCAAACTCAACACTGCTCATTTCTCTCGTTATGTATTTTTACGTATCACATTACGTTATGTATGTTTTACGTATCACAACCGGCTACCAACTATGGTGATCAAAATCTTTCAGTCTTGTTTTCTTCCTCAAATTAGAGCTATTAATGCAAACCCCCTTTTGATTGGTAAATTTAAACACGACATGCAAAACTGAAATGAATTCTGGCAGGCTCCTGATTCTGGTCAATATACGCATGTCGACGTCGGGAAATTGCCCTCTACTCCGAGGAAATGTAAGAGCTTTCTTTCCAGAGAGAGGACGAAAACCATACCCTGTCCAGCGCCACATCCCAGTATAGGCCATTTGCACATCTCCGGTAATGCACCTTATTTGCCCACCAAAATTTCAAGCATAATCTTTGTTTTTCATTTCTCCCGGATATTAAAGCCGTCAGGAGAAATTGAAAACAATGCAGAATTTTTTGGGAGCGGGGAGGGCGCATGGGCGGGGGTGGGGGGAAAATAATGGTATATGTGCAGGTGGCGAAAAGGCCATATAAGCATGGATAATAGAAAGACGTCTTTCTATTATCCATGATATAAGGGAGTACCCCCACCCCCGGGGGGAACAAAGCAAACTGTCGGTATGTGCGGGGTTTGACAGCCGTATCGCTGGATCTGCCGTCTCTGGCAGCTTTCCTACAGCAAATCAGATCTGGCCATAGGTTTGCTGGCTCGAGTATCAATAACTGCATGTGCGTGCGCGTAATGATCATGAAGATGACTGAATTATTAAGACCAAAAATCAGCATTCTGAAGACTGAAAAATCTGCCAGCCTTTTGAAGTTCTCAGACTACCTTTTTAATTATACCCGGCGCTGTCAATACGCGGCGTTTTTACCTTATGTAAAGCAATCCAGGACCGTCTTGGATTCTGGATTCCACGCTGTAGATTCTGGATTCCAGTATTTGTCAGTATAACTTGGATTCTGGATTCCAATCGTTGATGGGATTCCGGATTCCTTGAGCTGTATTCCGGATTCCAAAACCCAGGATCCCGGATTCCATAAACATAAAATTTCCTGGATTGCGGAACTCGGATTCCCTTATATGGGGCGAACTCGGTACTACATTACCGTAAAATTCCGAAAATAAGCCCCTCTATGTATTGCTGGTTTTCAGTGTCACGCCATTCAAAATAGATCAAAATAAAAATCAAAACCGTTCAATAGATAAAGTCCAGAATCTGGGAAATGAAAGGAGGTACCGTATACAAAGACCCTCGCTAAGATTCAGGTCAGAGGAATATTTCCTATTCGAGATATTCGGAGAAATGTTTTACCCAAACTTATAGTCCTGAAATAAGTCATTTTTTAACCCACATGACAGCTCTCTTGGCTGTCATGTAAATACCGCGTCACGCAAAATCTTAGAAATTCAAGCGTACTCTGTCACAAAACCAAGAACCCTTTTGAAGCGAAAATTTGTATTAAAATTAGTTTTCAGCTGCTCTAATGCATCCTTAAAGTAAAATCTCGGTAGGATCGGTAGTTTTTTTATTTTGAATTTTAGTGGCGTCATGTGAAAACCAACAATACGTCCCTCCAAATCAAGAGAGAATGATCTCATTCTCTCTTGTCCAAATATAAGCCCCCGAAACTCGTAACGAAAAAAACCCTCCGTTAAATCGCCCCTCCAAATATAAGCCCCCCGGGGGCTTGTACTTGGAAAATTGCCCTCAAAGACAACCACGTAAAACAAAGCGGTAAATTTACTTCTAACTATAAGGCTAGCCCAATCGATTTTGAGACGCAAATTTCCCTCCGTATATAAGCCCCTCCAAAAATGAGCCCCTCAAAAAGGGCCTTTGAAAAATATAACCCCCGGGGCTTGTTTTCGGAGTTTTACGGTAGCTCAGACCGGGGCTGATTACGATGGGTTCCTGGTTCAGATCAGTTTACCATAGCTATCCTGCGTAGCTCCGGTTTTTTTAGGGCTAAGGAATAAATCTGTATAAAAAAACAATAACCGGCCTCACGCAGGCTACCTACGCGTATAAAGTTCGTTTGTGTAGGAAGGGAAAAAGGGAGGGGATTCCTTAACGGAAATTAGGCCAAAGATCAGTTTCCGGAAATGTAACCAAAAATAGACTTATCTGTGAACTGGTGAAAGGAGTTTATTGGCTCCTGCCTGCCCTGTGGTGCATGCTATGAATGTTTTTTAACATCATTTTATCTTTTATAGGAGATTTTGTTATTACCATCATTGTTATTAAGAAGACGTGACGGCACCCCTATTGCAAGACTAGAAATTTTTTTAAATTTCTAGTCTTTTCAACCCTTATTTAAAAATAAGGGTTGAATAAAGGTTGAGCGCACCTAGTCCACTTCCGGGGCATGTGATAGCCATGCAGACCCAAACTTTTGTTTGGCACGTGTTCATCGCAGTCTCGCTCATGATTGTAAAGTACCAGTTAGTTTAAGCAGACGTCCAGCCAAACAAATGTTATTTTCTCACTTCTACAGTACTTTGGACGTTTCCTTTCGTGCTGATTTTTTTGGTCAGGGATTTCAAATATTCGGTGTTTTACTACTTCAAAGGATACATATTTTTTCCAATCCGGAAGTCACGGCCGATTGTAAACTAGCGGCATGTACGTCTATTCAGCTACTCAAACTTTAAGTACAATTGAATATTAGGGAATGCCTACGTGCATGTCATTGAAAAACAAGAAAGTAAAGGAAAATAAGTTTGATTTATCTCAAAATTGGATTTGTCATCACCTATTTTTTTTCCACTTCGGACTCGGTGCAAATTTCGGCGTAATCTTTGACCACTTTGAATTTTGCCCGCACGACTTTCATCCCTTTAATAAAAGGTTGCTCTAGAAGATGGCAAATGGCATAACGTGAGCAAGGAGCTCTCAGACCAATATATGTCAAGATAAAGAGAATGCTTTAAAGGGCGTTTGCTTTGCGCTCAGAAAACGCTAGAATAGCAGCTTCTTCAACGTTCCTCCAAAATATGTTTATAGATATTACGTAACTGCCCTGTCGCCCATTTTTAGAATTTCGCCTACGGGCATAAAATGAACTTGTTTTTGACGATGACAAGCAGTGCAAATTCTCGAGAATAAAACACCGCATACGGAAATAACACGCTTCAAAAATGAAATTTCAAAAGTCTTACTTTAAGCCAACAAAGACAAATTCAATAGAAAACTACAACTTAAATGCGATACCCAAATTTTTATTCCTTCATAATAATTGCCTCACCATTTAATGCAAATGAATAATAAGCTGATTTATTATTGCCCTTCAGGCGTTGATATAAACTTAGCTTTCTTTTCATGAAATTAACGTGCATAACTCAATCAGTCTTTTTTGTACAAGTAAAGCGAGAAGTAAGTACAAAGTACTCATTTTCTTAGAAATTTTACACATAATATTTACAGACATTTTATTTAAACCTACTGTGGAAAGTAGGCATTTCATAGCATTGCATTAATAAAGTTCACCCCACTGTATCTCGCGCGTTCGTCTCTCAAGAAACGAAATCAAGAACATCGCACCTCTTCTTCGTAGCGGGCAGTGAGGTTTCTCGCCATGACAGTATAACGAGAAAAAGTCTGAAGCAGTTCGGATAACTTCTGTTGCAGTTTGGCATCTGGCAGCTCGAAATTCCGCGATCCTGACAGCAGTTCCGCTCGCACGGTCTTGAGCAGTGCGAAAACATCGTAAAGAGTTTGGATCCCTTCGTTAAACTGCGGCATCTGCTCGCTAACTCGGTAATCTTTCAACAGGCAAGGAAAAAGAACTGACTTCTCCAAGGATTCCACCTCATCGACAAATCTCTTCAACGCGCCGAGAAGACAATTTTCAGCAGTAAGGAGAGTTTTGTTTTTAAAATTTTGAAAAGAGGGAAGCTCGTCATTCGGGCCCAGATTTAGCGTCGAAGTTTTGATGTACCTGGCGACCAAGGCGAGCTGATTTAAACGGTGACAAGATTCTCGAATTTCCCGTTCTAGCGGAACAAGGCTCTCTTCATCTTCGCTGTAATGGCTATGTCCAAGCGACAATTTAATTCGCATCGCTTTCACCATTAAATAGAATGCCCTCATGTTCATATTGTTTTGCAGAAACGAATCGGCCGCGGAACCTTTCGCAGGCATAAGATCCTTTACGGGCAGATCAATCAACTTCATGGGAATCAGGACCGTATGATCCATCAAATCCACCGTTTGCAAAAACTGTTCCATCACGGCGAGGAAAGAGTGCTCTACAGATTTTAACCGTCTCGACTCCATTGAATATGATAAGCTTCTGTTTACCACTCTTGTCCCTTTGACAGGTGCAAAGCGAGGGTTTTCGCTCTGTGTAATATTCACTTAGTAATTTATCTTCTCCTCACTACTTAAGCCTGAAGGACATCCAGATATTTCTGAGACGTACGGCTGCAATCAACGTCCTTAAAATACATCACTGCGGCCTTTTGTCATGATCTTTTCTGGCGAACGTGACATTTGTTTTTCACGACTGTGGCCTGAGATGGCATTGTTGCTGTACACGTGCTGTGCATGTGAAACAGCGATGGTTCGACTCCCTCATTTGCTATGCACACAAAACATCAAACTTATTGTCCCCCGATTTCAAGTAAAATGTCACCTTTTCTATTCGTTAAGCAATTCCATCTCTTCTTTGGTAACAGCTTATATAAATTAACAGTATTCGAACGCCAAAATACATAATTGTTGCCCTGTTTGAAGGGTAGTTATTGTTTGTTGAAATTCAATGCGCGAACAAGGCGTGATGTAATACATAATTTTGATTGGTTTATAGACAAGAGAAAGGGGCGCTGGCTAGGCGTTGGTGGGGCGTATAGGTGGCGTGTTCAAGTTGTCTGTCACGCCATACGACTTTCGTAATACGAACACTTGTGAAGGCAAAACCACAACGACAAAGCAGTGAGGGTTCGCCGGATCTTTAGAAGGCCTGGATCAGTATCGAATTTTAAATTTAAAACAGTAATAATCGTAATAATCGTGTCCGAGGTTCTACCTCGTTTTAATTTGGGAGTTACTTGGGAGAGGAAAGTTACATCCTCACAAAGTAAAATAAAACACTCGTGTAATTTAAAATTCCTGAAAAATCTTGTTCAAAATCTCCGACGATCCTGCGATGTCCAATATTTATCGGAGATTTTGAATTCTTGCATTTTATCCGTAAGCTTCAAACCACCTGCGGTAAACGGGATATATATAAAGGTCAAAATATATTTATTTATTCAAACAACGCGCTACTTCATTCTTACAATCGAAGCTGTAAAAGACGACCATTATCGTTATGGATTTAAGAAGAACGTGTCTTTGAAACTGAAAATACCATTTTCCTTTTAAAATTTCCCTCGATCTCCTGTTTTTTTTTTTCACGTGTTATCACTCGTTCTAACTGGATCTATTTACCAGCTGACTATATGTTTACATTTGTATTTTCAAACGTAGTCAAAACAACAATTTCACAAGCTGAGCGTGGTTGTGCTCCCCTAAGAGTACAGTAAGAGTGGTTATTACGTTTATTCTGTATTAGTGTCAGATTAGCGTGGATTCCAGACAAATGCAGCAGAATTGAGCCCAGCGGCTCCTGGCCCAGGAATTGAGCGAGCTCCGTGAAAAGCACAATTACAGACCCTCTATAAATGTTTAGTATCTTTTATTTGTCTGTCATAGTTTCAATCAAAAACATTTAAAGTCCCTGAAAAACTCAAAACATATCTTAAATCCAAAAATATCTTGTGACAGATCAAATTTTTATGGCATAAATTGAAGATCGCGTTTTTAAAAAAGAGCTGACTTTTTCGTATACGCCGGTAGAAACTCTACTTCGGTGGATCACCTCCTTGGAGACTATTAAGACCATGGTCGCTGTGTTTGCCGGAAAGGGTTAAAGATTTACAGTTTATTTATAAGAAATGCTAATAATAGCGCATCGACAAGTAACGCAATTATAATAGAGACTGTTCAGAACAAGATGTTCACAAAATAAGCGAGCAAGGTACAGTGAAGACGTCAGTTTGAACTTCGTTCGCATTCACAATTTTGTGGCCGTTTCTGTTGCAGAAAGAGAGAGCCTCTATAAGAACTTCGACTTGTATAAAAATAATTTTACAAGATTACTCATAAATGTATTTGCTTTTCTGTGAAGATCAAGAATTAAGAAAGCCGATTTAGCCGTAATTCCCCAGTGGAATACACTAGAAACGCAATAAGTCTGAAAAATACGTACTTTGGTCCAAGGTGTTCGGACCTGTTTTTTACCCAGGTCAAATTTTATTTGTCCCGTGTTAAAATTTGGATGCGTATCAGGGCAAAGTGAAAGACAAGCACGTGATACACCGACACCGTCCCCGCACGCACTCAGTGGGGATTGGGAGTCAAGAGTCAGTACTTGATAGTTTTGGATAGCTTTCAGTATCTTTTATTACGCATAGCTTACTGCTTCTCAAAATGTTTGTTCCACGTCCCGTGAAAAAGTTGAAAATAACGCGAATAAGGTCCGATTGGGAAAATACTTTTGACGAAGTTCAGGGTTCAGACATTCAGCAGCAGTGATCGGGTAGTTGTCAGAGTTCAATGATCTTGAATCGCGTACTTACAGAACTTCGCTCTTTGCGCGTCTCGCCGCTCAGTGGTGGTGAGACTAGGGTAAGTTCTATCAGACGTTGAATGGACTTTTGCCGCCTCACCCGTTGCTTGTAAAGCCTGGTTTCCATATGATCGTCCGGATCGTCCCGATCGTCCCAGTCGTCTCAAAAAATGTTCAGACGATCGGGACGATCAAGTGGAAACGCTACCCAGACGATCGCAAACGACCCGGACGACTGAGACGACCTCGATCGCTTGGATAGAGTTGAGTTCTATCCGGACGATCGGGACGATCATGTAAATTTTGAAGCGATCATATGGAAACGCTCTCAGACGACTGAGACGATCGGGACGATCGAAGGCTTTCCCAGAAGTCATCACTTTTATTTCAGTTATGATCGAGAATAAATTCGGCCCGGATGGCGCTGAAGCCGAAAAAATAATACACAAATGTTCGCAGCGCGTATGGGGGTTATTTGAAATTAGAGAAAGTCCGTGACATCAAGTTTTCGAAGAGATTATGTCTTCGGGGAACTCTTCTAGCTTCTCAATGCCGCAAAACCAAGAGAAAAAGCAGATACCAAGGTACGAGGTTCGCTTTACGAATAAAAATCATCCATTTATGTGGCTTGTTTGCAAAACACGCGCAAAAATTATATTGTCTGACCCAGAGACATCGCTGACGACCCCGCGTCTCTTGCCTTTGAGGCGATCAAGACGATCATATGGAAACTACCAATCGCCCCAGTCGTCCGGATCGTCTCGAAATATTTTGAAACGACTGGGGCGATCGGGACGATCAGGACGATCATACGGAAACCAGGCTTAAGTCTGTCGAACACAAGAGTCTTAAAAGGTGTGGCTAACCGACTTTTCAAATTTTGCCACTGTAGAATGCGACCCCCTTGATCGAATTCGAAGTCTGCCCGTCATTCCCTGTTCAAATTCGACTTCATAGCGCTTCAGTTCCGCAATTTGACCCCCACCGAATTAAAAATCAGGTAAAATGTTCACTCCTCATGTTGCCTATCGAAGAAGACAGTAACACTGTAACACTGTGTTTCTGATGTGAACGTCTTTAAGCCTTCCTCGCGCGATTTTCGCACGTCCCACGAAATGGCGATCGCCTCAGGTCTCTCTCGATCCTCGCTCGCTCTGAAATTAATGACCCTTTCCCTGATGCATTTCGTTTCGCACACAGAATTAGTTATTTTTATTTTTTTTTAACTATCAGTCGTGGAATGCGATTTGTATTTAGGCTGGCCATACCAGTCTTCTTCAGGTTTACAGATGTTACTGAACCTATGATAGGAATCACAATATTATATAGATGGAGAATGTCGCAATAAAAATTGTCTAAAGAGAGATCAGGCGGAAATGACGTACAACCCAAAAAACTGGAAAAAAAAAAAAAGGAATTCGTCACGGTGGCTTAGGCCATTAGGTTTAAGAGTCAGCCACACGTGTGGACAGCTCATCGCCTACCTTCTTTAAAGGTCCAAAAAGACATTCTGTGCAAGACTCGAAGTAATGAAATAGCTCCTAATATACCCTGTTTAAGACCCTGAAAACTATGGCATTGTTCAGCTCCTGTCTACGCCAAATAAGGGAGTACGCTCCCCGGTTTATGCACCCTTTCCAAGAAAAGACTCACCATTACCCAGATGGAAATGGGTATACAATGTGTAAATTTTTTGGATAAGTCGATGAAAAGTTGGAACATAATTTTCATTTTCGCCGTTGATGCGTTCAACTAAAATTTAATTTGACTTTTTTGTTGTCATTTCCGGTTTTCCGAGGTCCTCTCGTTCTGCCTCGTTATCACGCAGTTAGCTTAGTTGCCGCGCCACGCGCCATAGAAACTCCCATCAGGTTGTTCTTTCGTTGATCGGAGCTCGGGCTGTTTTATTGCACGACATGCAACGGTAAGACGTGTAAATTAAACATGTTACGATGAATGTTTTGAAAGTACTCTCGTGGATGTTTTAGTTGAGTTTTAATTTCTTCGAGGAACTATCTAATTTGTCTTCACCATCAATTTGAGAACACCGACAAGACGAATCACAGTTTGTTGAACATGACTCCAACAAAATATATGCTTGGCTGTTTCCTTTGTCCTGTGAGCAGTAAACTTGGCAACTCCATGCATTGAGAAAGGGAGGCCAGCCACAAACACCAGGTAGGTAGTAGTACTGAATATAAACTTTAACTAACATTGCGAACATATGCATTGAATAGATATGCCTATCTGCAATAGACCTTGTCACGGTTTTGGAAGTCATCTTGACGAGTAGGCAACCGCGTGAGAATACAGAGTTTGTATGGAAATCTTATGTCGAATAATTTCCTTGAAACGGCTGTTCTGAAAAAAAAAAAAAAATGACTTGTGAACTAAATCCTCACTCCTAACGATTCTACGGAGGAAATTTAAGGACGACAAATGTAGGAACATGCGCTAGAACCAGGTCGTCATTGCTAAACTGCATCTGAGATCAAACCTGGCCCTCAGACGGAACAAACCACAAAATGCATAAAACAGACCAAGTTTGGGAACTCTAAAATACTTGTGACAGCAAAAAAG